CTGAGTTGCTTATCTTAACTTTTTTTTTTTTTTTCCAGAGCATTTTGCTATGGGGCATGTGTGCTCACCAGAAAGACAGAGACAGAGAGACAGAAAACAAGAAATCATCCCCCAGAGGGATGGTCACACCACAATCCCTTCTCTCAGAATCCTGAGCATGCATGCACACATGCCTGGTTTGAGTTTAAGTCACTGGGTCTGGGACTTGAACCGCGGTCGATTACGTGGAATCCAGCGACATAGCCATTATGCCAACTGCTGGTCCCTATCTTAACTTTTTTAATAAGCAAAGCATGTGTGCCTGTGCACAAGAGACTGAGACAGAAGCACCTCTGATAGGGTCCCCTCACACTGTGATCCCCCTCGTGCATGCCCAGCATACCACATACATTTTTCTTTAAAGTTAAGGTTTTTGCCATAGGCACATGTGCTGTCCAGAGACAGTGAGAGAGAGTGAGAGGGAAAGTGAAAAATCACCCCCCAAGTGGGATGTCAAAGTCACAATCCCTTCTCCTTCATTCATTCTTGTCTCAGGATTTTGGGTATGCACACGCATGCACCCTGTGCATGATTTTCAAGCTGCCAGGTTAGGGACTTGAACTGCAGTTGATCATGTGGGAAGTCCAGCACCTTAATCACTATGCCATCTGCTGGCCCCAATGCATATCCTTTGGATATAAAGGTGTTTGTGTGTGTGTGTGTGTTATTTTTTTTATAAAATTGATCGCTATACATCATTTGGCTTGCAAAGAGAATCTACCCAACATGAACTACACCTCAGACTAGTGCAGCTGAGGATACTATACATGTTATCATCCACAGGTAATAAACTATTACCATGTCCCACAAGTGTCTTATCTGTCTACTTTTATCCCTAATTTTTTACACTCTTCCCCTCTGCTACCCTCTTCCTACACTGTCTCCAGTGTCCAAGACTATTTTAAATGCTTTTATGTCCTCTAATCTTTCAGTCTCTATCACAGAGTGCAGACAGGAATCCATGTTTGAAGACGGGATGACTTGTGACACTGTAAAATATATATTTAGGGAACTAGGAGGTGGCAATGGTGGTTAAGGTGCTGGACACTCCCACACGGCCGACCACGGTTCGAGTCACGGACCTGGTGGCTTGATTTCTCACTTTCCATCTCTCTCACTCTCTCTGTCTCTTTGTGGTCAAATTAAAATAAATGAATAAATAAATTTTAATAATTAAAATGTACATATATCTGGTCTTCCTCCCCTTGGGCTGGCCTACAATTCCTAAAATCCTTAGAATCTCCAAAGTAGTGTCTTTTTTGTATGCTAATGAGGTGACCAAGAGTTGGCAGCCCCTAGGTAGCCTGGATGAGGGCTGGTCACTGAAAGACCAAGGCAGGACCAGAGGAGTGAGACTTTCAGCGCCACTCCTGAAGGCTGAGATGATCACCAACGGCTGATGTTTTAATCCATCATGCCATGTAATTAAGCCTCCAGAAACCTGCAAAAGCACGGGGTTGGGAGAGCTTCTACACAGCTAAGCACGTGGAAGCTCCTGGAGGCTGGCATGCTCAGGGAAGGCATGGAAGCCCCGTGCTCTTCCCCCCACACCTTGCCCTACAGTATCTCAAGTGTATCTTTTGTGATATAAATTCTGAGAGCCACTCTGGCAAATGAATTAAACCCAAGGAAGGAGCTGTGGGAAGCCCAATTATACCTTTCAGTCAGAAAGGCACAGGTAAAATAGGCAGAGGCTCCTGCCTGACACCTGAAGGTAGGGGGAGCAGGCTGTGGGACTGAGCCCTCCACCTATGGGATCTGCCATATTTCCACAGGGTGTCAGGACCCATGAACTGGAGGATACCTAGTTGGTGCCTGCTGCTGCAGGACTGCTAGCCTGGTGTGTGTGAAAACGCTCCCACATGTGGCCCAAGAAATCGTCTGTGCTGTAAGAGTGCCATGGGAAGAAACAGAGTTTGTCTTTCCTCTGTTCTCAGAATCTTAACTTATGGAGGTAATATTTTATTTATTGACTGTTGCTACTGTCATTCTGCTATTCTTTTCTTTTTTTTTTTTTTCTTTTCTTTGGAGAGGTTTTTGCTATAGGGTGCGTGCGCTCACCAGACAGAGACCTACAGAGAGAAAGCAAGAAATCACTCCCCGGGGGGATGGTCATGCCGCAATCCCCTCTCCTCCATTCTCCTCTCGGGATCTTGGGCGGGCACGCACACGCGTCTGGCGTGAGTTTAAGCCACCGGGTCCGGGACGCGAACTGCGGTCGACTATGTGGGAGTCCAGCGACATAGCCATTATGCTAACTGCTGGTCCCTCATTCTGCTATTCTTGTAAATGGTTGTAGTTTCAATGTTTATCTGGTAACTGAGTACCTTATTGAACTAACATAAATTTTAATAATTTTTCTCTTTAGGTTTTGATATAATAATCTTATCATACACAAAACTTTTTTTCTTTTTGTCAGAAAGCATGTGCACTTGGGGGTGGGGAAGGGAAGAAAAAGAGAAAGAGGGACAGTGAGAAAGAAACCCTCACAGGGAATGGTCATACTGTAATACTTTCTCCTTCATTCTCCTTTTGAGATTTCGGCAGGCATAAATACACTCAGTGTGTTTCTCTTTTTCTTTCTTTCTTTTTTTAAAAAATATTTTATTTATCATTATCTTTATTTTAACATTTGCTACAGGGCACACCAGAGAGATAGGGGGAAAGAGAAAGCAAGCTACCAGATCAGGGACTCGAACTGCAGTCAACCATTTGGGAGTCCAGCACCTTCATCACCATGTCACTTGCTGGCCCCACTCAGCATGTTTTCTAAGACACTGGGTCCAGAACTTGAACCTTACAGTCAGTTAGGTGGGGCCAACTGCTTTAAGCACCATGCCATGGACTAGCCCACATAATAATTTATCTTTTACCCTCCAATTTTTGACTCTTACTTATTTTTCTTGGTTTAACCCACTATCTAGAGCTTTCAGAGATATTAAACCATAATGTTAACTGTTGGCAGTGTTGTCTGCATTCTGACTTAAGTGGAAATGTCTCTAATGCCTCAAAGCTACATAACGCTTGTTGATCCAATCAACATTTTCTCAGTATTTCTTACATTCTTAAAATGTAGAAGCGACTTTATGGAATTTTCTTTCTTTTTTTTTTTTTAAGAATCACTTTATTTATTTTTAAAAATAACTATTTTTTTGGGGGGAGAGGTTTGTGCTATAGGGCACATGCACTCGCCAGAAAGACAGCGAGAGACGGAGAGACAGAAAGCAAGAAATCACCCCACGGGGGGGATGGCCATGCCACAATCCCTTCTCCTCCATTCTCCTCTTGGTATCTTGGGCACACATGCACACGCACCCGCACCCATCATGAGTTTTAAGCCACAGGGTCCAGGACTCGAATTGGGGTCAGCTACATGGGAGGTCCAGCAACATAGCCATTATGCTAACTGCTGGTCCCACTTTATTTATGTATGTATGTATGTATGTATGTATGTATGTATGTATGTATTTATTTATATTTTTTTGACCAGAGAGGGGCAAAGCGAGAGAAAGAGATAAGGAAAGAGAGAGGGAAAGTGAGAAAGGAAGCTGCCAGATCTGGGATTCGAACCGCGGTTGACCACATGGGAGTCCAGAGTCTTTAACCACCATGCCACCTGCTGGCCTCAATGGAATGTTTTACATAACTATTTCTATTGGAAATCAGTGGGACAATTTTGGTTGTTCTTTTGCCTGTTCCAAGTTTATTTATTAATGTCTCCTGAGTGGAACAGATAGACACAAGCACCTGCAACAGGATCCTGATGCTCTGATCCACCCATAGCTTCTGCCAGCCCCAGATCATGGGCATGAGTGCCTGGTGCACACAGGGAGGTCTCTGGACGCGAACCTAATACCCTCCCATGTGGGTCAGCCTCAGAGGGTGTTGCACTTTAGTACTGTGTCACCTTCTGGCTACCACTTCTCTTTTAAAGACTGTAAATATGTATAAATGGATGTCTTCTTTTTATTTTCAATAAATTCCCAAAGAGGACTGGCAGGTGGCATGGTGGTTAAGGGCACTGGACTCCCACATGGTTGACTGCAGTTCAAGTACCAGGCGTGCTTTCTCACTTTCCCTTTCTCTCTCTCTCTTACACTCTGTTCCTTTCTGGCCAAATTAAAAAATATAAATAAATAAAGTTAAATAAAATAATTTTAAAAAATTCCTAAGGAAACCAGATTAGTAATACCTACAAAATCACTTATAAGTAAGAAAAGAAATCTGTCGTATTTAGTGGGCATAGTTCTTATTCATTCTTTTCACACTTATTTTGCAGTTTCTCTATCTACTTTTTTTCACAAAATGTGGTTCTTGATAACTTTTGACAATACTAAGTTATAGACAATTAAAGCTACTTTCAACAGAGTTCTTTAACCAATAGATTAACTCTTAGAGCAGCTAGTTTAAGAGACTAAAATGTAAATACACATGTAAATATAAAATATGTCTTGTTTCATTTTTTAAGTTAATATTTTATTTAACTTTATTGTTTATAATTTGACCAGAGATGGACAGAGTGAAAGAGAAAGCGGGAAAGTGAGAAACCAAGCCACCAGGTCCAGGACTTGCACCATGGTTGGTCATATGGGAATGTCTAGTGCCTTAACCACCACACCACCTACTGGTCCTGAAATCTGTCTTTTTTTTTTTTTTTACTCATTTCCTTATTTTATTTTGACCAGAGAGAGAGAAAGTAAGAAAGCAAGCCACCAGGTCCAGGACTTGCACCATGGTTGGTCATATGGGAATGTCTAGTGCCTTAACCACCACACCACCTACTGGTCCTGAAATCTGTCTTTTTTTAAAAGACGTGTATTCTACAGGTTTTTACACTATCTACTCTACATACACAACTTTAAATATAGAAAACAAACTGTAATATTAAGGTTAATGCAAGAGAGAAAAGAGTAAGATTAGACGTCACGCACTGCACACAGAAGAAAGAAGTACCCCCTTACCTGCACTTCGATTTGTAGATCTTTGTCTAGGAGTGCTCTCTTTTTCAGTATTTCAGCTTTGAGCTGCTCTTTGTGTTTGAAGAGCAGAGCCGAGAGCTTTGTAGCGTTCTGCTTGCTACGTTTCTGTTCCACACTCTCTTCACGCTTCCGTTTTTTTGCTGCCTGTTTTTCTTCTTTATCTATCTTATCCAAAATATACTTCATCACCTGGTTACAGACAATCATTCTAGAGAAAAACACACAACCTATGTAATGCCAGGTGTTTCACTCTGAAAGGCTTAAGACACGATTCTTCTATATCTCTGCAGATGATACAGACTTTCTACTAGAAAGCTTCAAAGAGTGACTCAAACCAGCTGCGAGCAAACAGGAGTGCCGAGTGTTCTCGTCTAACACGCTCAGTCAGATAAGGAAGGGTGAGCTCAGAACTCTCGTGCAGCACATGCTTGCCAAAGTGAAGAGACCGGTACACAATGAGGCCCTGCATTTCCCTACCTTTGATTCTCTTCTCTTTCAGCTGGAGTCATGGTCTTTTTCTGTTTTAAATGTTCTATTACAGCATTATGCTTCATCACCACCTTCAGGACAGAACAAATTCAAAAGCGCATATATTATAACGATCACAAGTTAGTACACAGATACAAAAGAAGTCTGAGCACATACGTGTACAATGAAACTAAGAATTCTATACCATAATACAAATAAAACTAGCATCTACTCTATGACCTGGGTGCCTTCCACGTGCTGGGCACTGAGCTGAACTTATTCATTCTTGATATTACAGTGGGAATTGTAACCTAATTATCACTTTCCAAAGTGTCTTTAATATTATGCTCACTTAAAAAAATTTATTTATTTTTAATTAATTTATTTAAATTTTTAAAATTTTAATTAAATTTATTTAAATCAGAGAGATATAGACAGAGAGAAAGGAGAGTGCGAAAGCAAGCCGCCAGGTCCAGGACATGAACCACTGTCAGCCATGTGGGAGTCCAGAGCCTCAACTACCAGGCCACCTACCGGCCCCCAATTATGCTCACTTTTAATTTTAAGACCTGTCTCCTTCCTATCTTATATGAAGATTAAAGATATAAAGATGCTGCGATAAGCCTCAATTTACAGAGTATACAGTACTGAAAGCTGGGAATTAGCACATTTGAACATACTACATATGGCATATTGAAGAGATTACATATAGATTTGACAGGACTATTACATCGTTAAATTCATTTTGCCGTTTAAAAAGTGTGACCTCTAATTATGTGACCTCATTTAATCAATACAATAACCTTGCATGGCTAGAAAAAAAGGAGTTTTAATGAGGATATATTTAGCTCAGAGAGTATAAGTAAATTTCATGGACTGTGAATGGGAGACCCAGGAACTGAACAAAGGTCTCATGACTTGGTGACACTTAAATTCCACAACCTCCTGCCTAGGGCTGAGTAGAGCACACTGTAGATGACAAAATTTTCTTCAGTAATGTGACAGGATGTGACAGACATGATTTCATTTTAGCAGAATTCTAACTCACCTAACTTGTCTTATTTCACTAGGATGCCACTTTTTATTTAAGCTACGAAATAATGTGTATGTAAAACTTTCACAACCCTGTGGTTAGAAATGCAAATGGGTTTAGTCTGTCTATAATTTGCTGAGTTTACTAAAGAATGACAAACTAAAGAATGCAAACTAAAGAATGACAGCTGCAAGCATAAGCTGCTGCGAACTCACTCCGAGTGAACTGCTGCCACAGCAAAAGCGGCTTAGAACTTAGGCCAACCTTTGCATTTTGTGTTAATGATACGTAAACTCATTAATTCTTCCTCCCATCTAAGTTCACCCAAAATACAGGTAGTTTCTAATAAGCATTAACTCTCTGCTCCTTCTCTGTGTATACACATCCAATGGTGAGTCACAAACCAGAGTAGCCATTTGATGTTTTCTGTCAATCCAGTGCTTCTTCTAAATTTCAACACCAATGACTTTGTCTCATTCCGGAAACCTACCACCACCAAACACTATGTCTAATGCACAGCACAATAATTCAAGCTACTGAACATGCTGTTTTTAACTTAGTAACTTTACCTGTTTCTGAATGATTTCACTTTGATTAGAAGCTTGGAGGGTGTGTTCACGCTTAATCTCTATCTGTTGCTGTTTCTTCTTTTGCTGCTGCTCCCTGAGTTGCTGAACCCTTTGCAACTGCTCTTGCACACTGGCTGCCTGCACTGTAACCACATTCTGAATCTGGTGAGTTTGCACAGGACTGCTTTGCTGAATCTGAACAGGTAACTGCAGTTTGATTTGCTGGGGCACACCTTGCTGAGCCTGTATCTGAGCCACAACCTGCGACTGGATCTGAGAGAGAACCTGGACTTGTTGCAGCTGGGGCACAGCAAGGACTGGGGGCTGCGGCTGCTGCGCTGGTAGCTGAGGACGGGATGGGGATGAAGCAGAAACTTGATTTAACGTTTGTCCTGATGAAAGAGTTTGAGTTGAAGACTGTACCTGGGGCTGTGATTGTGGCTGGCCTTGGGAAGGTATCTGAAGAGATGTATGTGGCTGAATTGGAATCGGTTGTGAGGTTGTAGTCTGAACCTGGGATTGCTGTCCAGGAGACACCTGGGATGGAGTTGATGGACGTACTCGAGTCTGTGGTGGACTCTGGACACGAACAGGAGACTGTCCTTGGACATTACTTTGAGGCTGACACTGTGCTGCAACTTGGGGCTTGGATGACTGTGCTTGGGTGGGCTGTGCTTCGGGAGGGACAAGGGATGAGACAGTTGTTGGGGTCTGAGCTTCAGGCTGAGTGGGGGCCTGGGACTGGGCGTGGGGCTGGGGCTGAGCTGAAGACTGAGCAGTCTGTGGCTGGGCCTCTGGAGGACTCAAACTGGGTGACTGAGCTGGAGGCAGGGGTTTGGGTTGCTGCATCTGTGTCTGGGGTGATAATTTACTCTGTTTTTGTTCACCTGTACCTGTGAAAAGGAAAGACAAACATTTCTATTACTCCAGAACATAAGACTGTGGTTAAAGAAGAATTTGAAAAGAATTTTCTAAAGTTTAGAATTTTCCATTCAGTAGAGAAGATACATGCCTTTGAAATTCTCTGTTTATGCATGCTTGGGTTAGGACTCTGTTGAGCTAGCTGGGGAGCCTGGACCCAGTTTCTTGGCTGCCCTCTCTACACTTCTGCTAAGACCACAGCAAGGCGCAGCCACTGGACATCAGCCAGGTCTTCTGGCCCAGGCCAAGCCTCGCTTCTCTCCTAGGGTGTTACGGTGCACAGGCTGACAAAGTCTGGCCCTGCAGCGGCTAGTCACATACTGGGAGGTGGATGAAACTTCTCTCTGTGAGAGCCCAGGATTCAATGTGATCGCCATGAATCACTGCCTGCAAGGCTTACAAGAACTGCGGCCACAGTCATGATGGTATCCATTATTTTGGCCCCCCTTCGTCTATTTTTTATGGGGCACCGGGTATGCTGTTGTGACAGGGAGTCCAAGAATAAGGCACGAAAGCATCGAGATGCTGTAAGGTTGACCAAGCGTACTGATGTGAGGCACACCCTCCCAAAGATAAGCACTGGCTCTTTTGTCCCCTCGGCTAGCCCGGCAACCTGCGGTAAGAACATGTTCCTCAGACCCCAAGTCCTACCTGCTGTGGTAGTGGAAACGGTGGTGGTGGTGGTGCTGGCTGTCGTGGCTGTGGTTGCCAGGGGGGTAAAGAGGAATCGCTGAACAGTACCATTGGGCATTGCAGCTTGCATTAGCTGCTGTCCTGGGCCTGGGAGCACAGTCACCCCTTGAGGTATCAACTGCAACTGCCCAGTGGTTTGACCTTGTCCTTGAATTACGACGGTCAAACCTTGATTGCCACCCTGTGGAAAAAACACGCAACATGTAAACTGTCCACAGCTTCAACCTTCAGGTACAGCATTTTTCTTAAGTCATTTTTATGTTGTAAACATCCTTTAATATAATGAAACTATAAATCTGAATGTCTATGGGATGGCAGTAGGAAGAATTTAGATAAGTTAAAATAAGTTTTGTGTCATTGACTGGGGGAAAAAATGAAAAATTCAGAGTTCTAGTACAAGCTCTCCAAATGGAAAACCAGGTCTCTCCCTATGAGGACCATTATTCTACCAGATCTAAGTTTCCTAGACTGCAAAATAAGAACATTGATGTGAATGACTAACGTTTCTACAAAATTCTGATTTAACATATTCACTATATGTATGTGTGTATGTATATATATACACACATATATAACACATATATACATATTTTATATATATATATATATATATTTGGAGAGGTTTTTGCTATAGGGTATGTGCACTCGCCAGAAAGGCAGAGAGAGACAGAAAGTGAGAAATCACCCCCCCTCAGGGGGACGGCCACACCCCAATCCCTTCTCCTCCATTCTCCTCTCAGGATCTTGGGCACACACGCAACCGGTGTGAGTTTAAGCCACCGGGTCCGGGACTCGAACTGTGGTTGACTACATGGGAGTCCAGTGATATAGACATTACACAAACTGATGGTCCCAATATTTCACAGTTTTCAAAGCAGCTTCATATATTTATTTGTTATGATTTTCAAGCTGTTGGGTTTGGCATTCAAACGGTGGCTGGCCAGATGGGAATTTAGTGCCATAATCACCAAGCTATCTGCTGGCCCACATGTCAATTTTAAAAACCAGCTTGGGAAGTTCAACAAAAATATCTCTTAGAATATTGGGAATTGGCAAGTGGTATGGTGGCTAAGGTGGTTGGACTCCTACGTGGCTGAAGGCGGTTGGAGTTCCGGGCCTGGCAGCTTGCTTTCTCACTTTCCTTCTCTATCAATTTCAAAAATAATAATAATAATAATAATGACAGTGAATAAAATAAGAAAAAAAAGTTTTGATGGAAATTGCATTCAATCTACTGATCAATATTGGGATATTTAGTCTTACAAAGAAGCAGCTTAATGTATCCGACTTTTAATTCTTCCAGTGGAAATTAATGGCCAACTGATGACGTGCTGGTGCTTAAAGGATTATCCATTTTGCTGGCATCTTTCACTAAGAGTTCTAAGTGGTTGGAATTTGTTTTGGTTATTTTTTAATTTATTTAGTTTTAGAGGTTTTTTCCTTAGTCTGTGTGTGCTCACCAGAGAGAGAGAGAGACAGACAGAGACAGAGACAGTGAGAAGGAAAGTGAGAAATCACCCACTGGGGGGATGGGCACACTATAATCCCTTCCCCTTCTGGGATCTTGGGCAAACATGCACATGTGCCTGTCATGGATTTCCAGCCCCAAGGTCCAGTACTTGAATTATAGTCAGCCATGTGAGTCCAGTGATATAACTGCTATGCCATCTGTTGACAATGATGGTTAGAATTTATTATATGCTGCTCATAAGAAGATATTTTTGTTTGGCTCCATAAAGCAGACATTTCTTAAAATAAATGCATTTTTAAACATATCAAAGTAAGTTTCCATTTCTAAACTTATAAGACTATGTAACTGTTATTTATATAAAGTTAAAATAAAACTCTATACTTACATGGCCCTGAGTTAACTGAGTGAGCTGAGCCATGGTAAGTTTCACCTGTCCTTGCTGGGGGCGAGGAGCTGGTGGGGTTGCAGACGGCAGGTTTGGAGCAGGTGCTCCTGCTGGTGCTCCTTTCTGCCCAGGCGTGGTGGAGACGGTGTGAGGGGCCGAGACAGCAGTAGACACGGGCTGCCCTCGAATGATCTGAGTCACCACTTGCTGAGGAGCACCTAAATGAACAGCACAACATGAGGAATGCAGACAGCCTTCACACTCAGAAATCGAAACACTTCAACACTGCAGATGAATATATATTTTTCAATTAAAAAAACAAAACAAAACACCGGACTTCTAAGATCTCTAGGATGCCCTCAGACATAAGCCCTGCCTGAAAAACCCACTTTGCTGACAGTGAGACTGTGTTGTCTGCTCACTGACAACCATTACTCAGTTCCTGCTGTTTCTAGTAGAGTGAAAAAGCAATGAATATTTTTCCTATAAATCTAAAATCAAAATGACAATGGTGATGACAAAAGGATATGTAAAACATGCTATTTATGAAGCTTTTTTACCTATAGAATATAATATTAAAAGTAAGATACACCAAGGCAGAGTGTTCAAAGAATGTTTTCATAGTAATTACTCAATAAATATCTACTGACCAAATCAAATTTGCTTAAATGGCTCTATAGCTCCCCACAAACCTCAGTTTCTCATTTCACTTGCTCAAACTTACGAAATAGTCTCCAAGAGTAATTATGACTTTTTACAGACTTCATACTAGTGAATAATGTATTTCTGAATTTTTTTTTTCCCATTACAGGCTTCTGTCTTAAGGAATGTGCACTTGTGTGGTAGGGGAGGAGAGAGATAGTGAGAGGGCAAGTGATAAACCACCGCTGGGGGAATGGCCATACCGCAATCCCTTCTCCATTTTCTTCCTGGGATCTTGGGCACGCGCGCATATGCTACTGGTGTGAGTTTCAAGTCACCAAGTTTAGGACTTGAACAGGGTCGGTCATGTGAGAGTCCAGTGACACAAACACTGCGCCATCTGCTGTTCCCATTTCTGAAGTTATTAAATTTATTTCTTGTCTCTCCTTCCTTCTATGAATACTGTATGTGCAGGCCTGAGTGTGTGTGTGTGTGTGTGTGTGTGTGTGTATCTCTTTTTGCCTTTCTATCGCTCTCTCTTTCTTAGATTTGCCAGGGGGTAAGTGTACATGCCATGGAAAGAGACAAAGGGGGACAGAGAGAAACCAAGAAAGAACCTCCCATGAAACATGTTTTTTTTCTCTCCCCTCAGAACTTTCTTCTTTTTTTTTTTTAAGAGATTTTTGCTATAGGCTATGTGCACTTGATGGAGAGATAGACACAAAGACAGAAAGTAAGAAATCACCCGCCAGGGAGAATGACCGTGTTGCAATCCCTTCTTCTTCATTCTCCTCTTCGGACCCTGGGCACACATGCACACTCACCTAGCATGAGTTTCAAGCTACTGGGTCCAGACTCAAACTGAAATCAACTATGTGGGAGTCTAGCAATGTAACCATTATGCCATCTGCTGGTCCCAATTTTAAAAAGAGAATTAATTAAATTATTATTATTTTAAAAATTTGCTGTAAGGCATATGCACTCAGCAGAGAGAGAGAGGAATAGAGAAAGGGAAAGTGAGAAAGTAGCTGCTAGGTACAGGACTTGAACTGTGGTCAGTCATGTGGGAGTCCAGCAACCTCACCAATATGTCACCTGGTTCTGGAACTATGCTTTATAATAAGGAAATTATTTGTTTCCTAATGATTTCAGACTTTACCCATAAAATCATTAAGCCTGAAATTTCTTTTTCACGTTGTCTAGAATTTTCTTTAACACTATGGTGATTTTCCAAATTTCATCACACAATATAAATCACCGAAATGTTCTATTTATAAGCACAATATTTAACTATTCCTTGCTAAACAAACAGATTCAGTTGTATGACTTATAAGAATAATATAATTCCCATTACAAGGATATCTATACACAATTATCTTTTGATTTAAAAAAGCTTATTCTATGTTTAACACTTTCTCATTCCTAATCCTATAAATTGGTATTCCCTTTTGAGAGCAGACTTGAAAAGAATGGCCTTTTTTTTGGGTATTGCCTGCACATGCACCCAGTGTGTTTTTTAAGATGCAGGGTCTGGGACTTGAACCAGTCATGTAGGTCCAGGCATCTTTTTTTTTTTTTTTTTTTTTGAGAGGTTTTTGCTTATAGGGTGTGTGCGTTCACCAGATAGACAGAGAGAGACAGAAAAACAGAAAGCGAGAAATCACCCCCCAGGGGGGATGGCCACGCCGCAATCCCTTCTCCTCCACTCTCCTCTTGGGATCTTGGGCACGCATGCACACGCGCTGTCATGAGTTTTAAGCCACTGGGTCTGGGATGCGAACCGCGGTCGACTACATGGGAGTCCAGTGACATAGCCATTACGCTAACTGCTGGTCCAAGGTCCAGCCATCTTAATCTCCATGCCAACTGCTGGCCCCAATACACTTAAGTTTTAGAGGATTCTTTTTCTTTTCCCCACCAGAAAGCATGAGCACTTGGAGCAATAGACAGAACAGGAGAAAGCATCTTGCAGGGGGGTATGGTCATGCCTCAAGTCCTTTCTCCTCCATTTCTCCTCCATTTTTCAAGCCACCAGGGCTGAGATTTGGTCAATCATGTGTGATCTGGCTTCCCTGGGATCGCCCTCTTTTGCACACTTAAGTATATTTGAACCTAGTATTCTCTCATATATCTATGGATGTAGTCTACGGTTGATTCGAAATTTAGTATATTTTGAAGTGTTAATTCAAATTGGCATTATCTGGTACAAAGGATGCCAAATACAGAGTATCACAGATTTCCTGACTAACTGTCTACATGTAAAGTGACAATACCAGATGGGTGAGTACCTGGCTGTACCATCACAGGTGTTCGGATAACTGCTTTTCCGAGTGCTGACTGCTGGAGTGGTGTTCTAATCACCGTCACCCCAGGGCGGATCTGAGGCCCTGTGATTACCTATAAAGGACACACAGAAAGATGAGTTAAAACGTTTTTCAAACACTAAAGCACGATGAACTCAGAACACAAGATCTTTAAACATTCTATGTTGATAAAAACATCTACAGAAATGACAGGGACAATACATTTTAAATTATTGATACATTAGGCATAAGATGAAATATTGAGAAGAGAAAATTTAACCTAATTCAAATGAGGTCAAATTCCTAGCCACTAATACCAAGAAGAGCCAAGATACTCAAAGGAAGCCCACTGAGGCTCTGCGCTATCCCTACCACTCACTGGAAAGTGCTGAGTCCTATTTCTCTAAACTCTAACCTCTGTCAGAAAACAAGTGTCTTGTTATTGTGTTGAAGGAGACTAGAGTGCAGTTTCAATTTGTTAGGTTTGAAATATTTCCAAGTCTGTGAATTTTAAATCTCTTCCATAATCACTAGAAGCAAAGAAATGATGTGTCTCGTGTAATGTGTGCACATATGACCTGGTGACAAGCAGCTCAGTGCAGCAGGTTCTATTTTTCATTTTCTTTCTTAACTAGGGTGGCACATTTCCTCCACTGGTCCAGAGCTGTCTAGTGTTTTATGTGAAGGATTTGAAAAAAAAAAAAATCCTAGAAAGCAATTATTATTATTCATACACTGTAGTGTAATACTATTAATTACAATGAATACTTCGTGTATCCTTTTCACTTATCGGAAATGTAATGAATGGATTTTTTCATATTAGGACATTGTTACAGATTAAGTAAAAGGCAAAGGAGAAATTAGCTGGATTAATCTTGAAAGAGACCATTCCAAAAATTTCAACCTGATACGTACGACACTTCAGAACAAAGAAAGCCTGTCAAGAAGTCTTACTTGGGAAGTGCTTGTGGTGGCTCCGGAGGCCGAAGTATTGGGCCTAATGGTGACCGTTGCTGTCCTGGGCTGGAATGAAGTAAAGGTTTGCTGACTGGTACCTGTACTTGATGGAATGATACCCAGGACTTTCTGCTGGACTTGAACCACGCCTTGAAAAAGATGAAGGAACAGTGAATGAGTGTCCCACCAGTGAAAAGCATCGGGTGTTGCTTGGATTCTGAGGAGAAACTACGTGTGGCAGGGTTTTATAGTGGGCTACATAGAATGTGAGATCCGAGGACTGAGATCAGTGGAAAGGAAATGAAGAATAATGGCAACAGTATGAGCTGGCAAATGTGAATTAAAACTCTTCACATGTCCCTTACCTCCTTGTGTGGCTGGCACATTTACAGCGACAATCTTGCTGTTTGCAGGAAGTGGCAGTTTGGTAATTACTTTTCCTGCCATAGGGACTGGGCTGCCTGCAATGTGGAACGTCTGACCTGTGCTGGCAATGGTTGTAGCAGACGTGGCAGCCGTGCTGGTGGCTAATGGGGTATAAGACATTCAATAAGCTTTAGATTTAAAATAACCAGCAACGCAGTGACTTCTAGGCAGGGTACCGATGCATGAAATGTGGTTCATTTTGTATTTTTAATAAAAACATCCTCTCTACTCAAAGTGAACTATGTAGATGTTGAAAGTGAAATTATGTGAGAGAGGACTTTTGCCAATGTCATATCATGAATAGTATCTGTAACAAACCACCTGATACAGCTGGCTTGCTCAGTGGGCTGCAGAAGAAAAACAGTACCTAAAGAAATGTTTCATTTCAGTAGGTAAAGGACTGAAAATTCTCATTCCTGAATGAAAGCAATCTCTTATTTAATCCCAGTTGTATACCTGAATTGGACTGGCCTTGCTTAACCCATGTAGCAAAGGTCTGATGGAAGTTCTTGCTTTGCTGGAATGTTACTGGCGCCGGAGAGCCGACTTTAGTCGTCAGCACCATTTTAGTCCCAGCTGTGACTGAGCCACTGATGGGGGCCACCATGACTTTCTGTGCTGGAGACATGGTACTGGTCGTACTGCTTGTGGGGGATGTAGTAGAAGCTGCAATCACTGCAGGCTTCTGCTGCTCCAATCGTTTCTAAAAGAAGTCAGAGGGAAAAAATGTGAACCAAAGTAGTTCTAAATAAAATAACAACTTTCTGCAAGCAGTTCAGCCACAATTTCTCTCACCTTAAGATATTGCATTACATTTCCAAGATATTTTACTTTTGAAAGAAAATACAATTGTATAAATTTACCCTTGAATTTCTGGATGAAGGCAAAATTGTCATGTCTCTATACAACATACATTTCATTAAAGGCTCTGAGGTGTTTGAGACAAAATTGGAAATGATCAAATATAATATCTGGCCTATACAAATATCCCAGCTTTGAGAATGAAAATAAAAGGGCTGTGGGCCATCGTGTGGGGACAGGAACAGGCTGCTGCTCAGCACTGAGATTCAGTTCGGAGAGCAAACGATGGGAGCTACAAAAGGTTGGTTTCTCTGTTGAGTGGAATTATCTACTCATGAAGAGCATGCCAGTATTTAAAAACACTATTTAATCGAGCAAGTTGAAAATGATAAACAATTTTCTAGACTTCCTATTCAGTTCAAACATTTTTACAGAAAAATATCTGAGACTATTTAACAGAAAAATATCTGAGATTACTTTATAAAAAGTGGTGCAATCTTATTTTGTGCAATCTTATTTTTTAAGAATTATTTTATTTAACTTTATTCATCTGTTTATTTATTTTAAATTTGATCAGAGTGGGACAGAGTGAGAGAGAGCGAGAGAGTGAGAGAGAAGAAACTGAGAAACCAAGCTGCCAGGTCTGGAACTTGAACTGAGGTCAGCCATGTGGGTGTCCAGTGCCCTGAACCACCATGTGACCTGCTGGCCCCCTTGGAATGTTTTTTAAGCCACAGGTCTGGGACTCAAAATATGCAGTCGGCCATGTGGGACCCAGCTGCCTTAACCACCACACACTTACTGGCCCAGTAACCTTTTCTTTAGGTTCCAAATATTTCAACATATTTCCATTATGTACAGTATGGAAATGCTAAGACACTACCAGTGGTTTTCTCATCTTCAATTATAACAAACTCTTACAGAGTTTCATTATGACTTGTTGTTTTTTTTTTTTTTCATAGATTAGAGAGATTATCCAGACAAATCTTTTGCATTTAAAAATTATTTCGACAGGGACCAGTAGTTGGTGTAATGGCTATGTCGCTGGACTCCCATGTAGTCAACCACAGATCGAGTCCCAGGCCTGGTGACTTAAACTCACGCCGGGCGCGTGTGCGTGCGTGCTCAAGATCCCAAGAGGAGAATGGAGGAGAAGGGATTGCAGCGTGGCCATCCCCCCCTGGGGGGTGATCTCTCGCTTTCTGTCTCTCTTTCTCTCTCTTTCTGGTGAGCGCATGCACCCTATAGCAAAAACCTCTCAAAAAAACATTATTTCTAGAAACTACCAATGGAATTATAAAGATAACAAAGAAAATTTTCAACCATCTTCCAAGTGTGTATGTATGCCTGCTGGAATACCAGCTTAGTGTATCACAAAGCTTGAGTTATATTTACTGCTTGAGAGAGACAGACAGGCACCCTCGACAGTCTCATGCCCTGATCCCTTCCCCGCAACCTTCTAGTTTGTGAGGATCTTGGGCGCACATATGCACACACCCAGTGTGTTTCTGGTCAATCTGGAATGTGAACTCACGGTCAGCATGGCTGACCAGCACACGATCAAGTTAGCCAGCATGCTGGACCCAGCCTACTTTTACGTAACGAGTAGGATAGACGTGAGATCACGTCAAAAACCGCACGTAAATATGTAATTCCTTGTTCTTTTGGTGTGCATGTATTTGGCCAGAAATGAGTGTCTGTCATCTAGTGGGACGCCCCCACCTGCTGCATAGTTAACTGGGGCTGTTTTGAGAGAGCTCTTACTTGGGCCTTGAAGTCCATCACTTTCTTCTGTTCACTAACCTTAGCCTGTTGCTCAACGGCTTGTGCCTTTTCTTTCTCCACTCTGCAAGAAAATAAGGAGACACTTTCAGAAACGAGACCATTCGGCATTTGGGACCTAACACAAGTAAGATCTGGTTGACAAGGCTAGAATTTAACAATAAAATGCTTAAGTTAATATAAATTGACAAGTGAATAATATTAAACATTAGATATAGGATTTTAATAAGCTATACACAGTTAGCAATAAAATAAAAGGTGGGCTAAAATTAAGTAGGCCATCCTAAATAAATAAATAAAAGAAAGAAAGAATCGTCAATTCTTTAATTCTGATCCTTTAATTTTTTAATCTTCAGATACCTGACCACGTGTTAACTATTTCCTTACCTCTCAGCAAATGCCCTGATCTCCCATAATTCCAACTCTTCTTCTGCTACCCAGGTTTCAATAATAACAGGGCCAGTTTGCTTGGGTGTTTCTGGTCTCTTTGGCCGCAAAGCACTTGATCGAAGGCCTTTCCTCTGAGGTGTAGGTGTCTCTTTGGAAAAGAAAACAGAGTATTTTAGGCAACATAGCTACTAAAATAAGAGCCCTTCAACCAGCTCCTCTCATCTGAAAGGCAGTGGCTGGCAAACGTTTTCTTCCTAAAAAGTCAGGTGGTACAAATACTCTGGACTATGCAGGCCAGACGGTCTCTGTCACATCTACTCAATTCTGCCTCTGTATCATAAACAGAGCCAAAGACAGTACGGAAGTAAGCATGGCTGTCTCCAATTTGACTTTACTTACAAAAAGCAGGCAGCAGGGCAAGGGCTGAGGGCTCTGGTTTGCTGAGCCCTGAAATGTCAGACTACATAACCTCTTCTCTCTGCCGGGAATGCTACTCCTGCCCCGTTCTTATCTGACTTACACTGATTCTTCCTGAGATGTCAACATGGACACCACCTCCTTCACAAGCCTCGTGTTCCTTTCACCGGTGGGTAGTGTGCCCTCACCATGGACAACTATAGTAACATGTATTTCCCCATCTCAACACGGAGCAAAGGGATTTGAGAGGTACCAATCTAAAGGAGAGACCTGAAACTTTACAGTAGATCAAGATCTCTTTATAAGATTTTAAAAAGAAACAGGGCCAGCTGGTGGCATGATGAAGGTGGCTGTATCTCACATGGCTGAAAGCAGTTCAAGGTGCTTGTTCCCAAAATCCAAAGAGAAGAATAGAGTGGAAGGGACTATGGCATGGCTATCCTTCAAGGGGTGCTGTCTCAACCCCCCTCACTCATCTCTCTCCAGGAAGTATAAGCACCGTATAGCAAATTAAAAAATAAAAAAAAAGTAAAAGAAAACATTAGGATGGTACATGATCAACTGCAGTTTGAGTCCTGGATCTGGCTGCTTGAAACTCACAGGTACACGTGCATGTATGCCCAAAATCCTAAGAGGAGAGTGGAGAAGGGAATGTGGTGTGGCTATCCTCCCCGGGGGGTGATTTCTTGCGTTTCGTCTTCCTTCCCAGCAAGTGCATATACCCTATACCAAAAGTCTCTCACTCTCAAAAAGACTAAGAGGTTAATAAAAACAAAGTTTTCTCTTTTTAAAAATGTTTATTTATTTCTTCCATTAGTGAGAGAAGACAAAAAGAGAACAGCAAAAGAGATGAAAAGAAAGGGGGAGACAGCACCCCAACAGGGTCTTGATGCCATCTAGTCTTCAGCCAGCCCTGCATCACGTGCCCACATGTACCTGGCACACTCAAGAGATCTATGGAATCTGAACTGGGAACCTTCCTGTGGAACTGACCTGCAGAGCTTTGTGCTTCCCCACCATGTCACCCTCTGGCCCCCAGAAAACAGATTCTTCCTATTCCTTACCTTTTGGTGCTTCTGGAACTCCAATGGGGCAGATGATTTTCCTGATACAATATTCAGATCGAATGCCGTAAGGACCAACATCTCGCCTCTTAATTATTTCTGTTGTTGTGATTTCAGTTTCAGATGTTTCTATAGTGATTTAATTTACACAGTATTAACAACTACCCAAAGTCCTCACACAGTAGAAAAGTACAAAATATATAGTGCTTTAAAATAAAAGAGATACACACATGAGATCAACTTTTAGAAACACTTGATTAATTAAGGACTACAGGGTCACTGCTAGACTGTGACAATACTGACCTGCTTCCTCGCTGACAATGTCTAAACTGAACAAAATTCTACTGGGTGCAGCTTAGCTCCTGGTGGCAATACTCAGTCAAAATAATAAAAACCCTAGGGCAGAAGCAGCAGGCACAGAGTTCCAGAAGTCTCAGTTTAAGTGACTTATACTCTACAATAATAAATATTTTAAAAATTTAGACGGGTTCACATATAAGTGACTCACCTTATAACCTGAACCCCCCTACCCCTTGGCCCTCAGAAAGATGAACATGTTGCCAAACCTCAGCAAAACTGTGTTTCTATAATACAAGCATTTTATTAAATAAAAAACAGAGATTTTTAAAATTAAGTGACTGGTCAAGAGGTTTTTTTTTTTTTTTTTTTCCTTTTAGCTGGAGTAGAAAATAACCCTCCTTACCTGTCCGTGTAGTCCCTCCCCCAGGAGGAGCCTTGGCTGCCATGTCATCCCATCTCAAACTCGCCCACAGTAACCGTAACATTAGGCTCACTCCAGCTAAAGATTTTACCGTCTGAAGTCGGTATCTGAAAGAAAAACCATACATATATATTTATTTGTGTGAGTGTGCTTGTGCACACGTGCACACACACACACTCTCTCTCTACTAAAGAAGAATTGTGTTCCTTATCCTCATTACGACTTCCAGATTTGGATTAAGGTATTGTAAGCCTTTGGCATTATATGTACCTTAAAGAACTTTATGTTTACTGATATAACACGCACCTAACAACTTAGAAAGGGTCTTCAGTCACTTCGAATGCCATATAAATTTGTAAAGTGAGGACGTTTCATTGTAAGGTTGATATGGCTCCAACTTATGAAGACTATAAATTTAACCTAATTCCAAAATACCTTTTAGAAAATGTAGATAGGAGAACAAATTTAAAAAGTAAGTAATTATGTTCCTAAATGTCATAAAGAAGTTTGAAAAATTAAATCTTGACAAGTTTTTCCTGAAATGTAAAATTGAAAATACTTATATTTTCTCAAAACAAAACCAAAAACATCCAGCAAATCAAAGAGCTTTTCTACTATACAGAAATTCTGTATTCAAACAGTAGTTCTTCAAAACATGAACTACAGGGTGATGAATACTACTAACACCAACAACACCGGGACGACCTTAGTGCAGTCTGGCCCTCTACAATTTAATAAAACATCATTAGAAAAAGGATAATATTAGGGAACTTCAAAACAGAATTTAAAGACAAGTTTATTTAGGTACAAAAAAAGTTCTGAAATCCATGCCTAGTTTTCTCACAATACGCATTTTCCGTGAACTTGTTGAAGACCCACTGTACGGTGTTAATTACTTATCTACAAACAAAAGACTCCGCATTCATTTTTTGGGATAAGTATTGTGCATGAAATGATTGAACAGCTTAGATAATCTTTTTAAAATAGTACTAAAAACATTATTATTTTTTTAAATTTTCTCAGCTATATTATTTCCTACAATGGAATTAATCAGAAAACATCTGAGAGCAGCTCTAGGCTGTCAATTCACCATTAGGATCTTTGTACAATCAAATACTTCGTTGACCTTTTCACACTATTTAAATGAACTTATTAATTGACTGCAGGGTAGAAAAAGTTTCTAAAGCAAAAATAACTTCCTTCTCCAACAGTGGAAGAAGGCTCTTCTTAGGCAGTTCTTTTTATTAACTAACATCAAGTGACTAAGATGAACAATGTGGGAAAGGGAAAGCTCTAACCAAAAAGTTGCCACAGCTGTTTAACTTCCCCTTTTAACTTGTGACACCATTATTTTATTTTACTTTTCTCCTTTTTTTAATTTGCCAGGGGATGTGTGTGCCCACCATATATATATAGAGAGAGAGTGACAGGGGAGAGAGAAAGTGAGAAGCATCCCCATGAGGCACTGCAATCCCATCTCCATTTCTCCCTCCTTTCAGGATTGTGGGTGTGCGTGCACACGCACCAGGACCGAACAGCTCGGTAGGCCACATGGGATCCAGCCACCTTAACCATCAGGCCACTGGCTGATCCAGCATTATTTTCTTTGTTGTGTTATCACCCTCTGAGTCCTCTGACCTGGTCAGAGTAAATCTTAAATTAGAGGGGAAATGTTAACTATGCAGGGAGAGGTCTGTCACTTCCAGACCACACCTTATAGAAATTCTCAGGGCAATTTGGTCTCATGGGAGAAAGCAAACCAACAGTTATTGGCAAAGAATTCATTCTTATTATTTCCCCCAATCACTCTCCATGGTCAAAGAATGACTTCAAAGCGTTTCTATATTAAAATAGAAATAACACCAGGGAGGAAGAAGACACCTCACACAGTAACATCCTGCTTATTCTTGCCATCATTCCAAAATATCTACATGTCTCTGGTCAGACTGAGTGAGAGGAGCTGGGGACACAGACATGAACTAGAGCATCTGTCTCTCTGTGTTCTCGAGGAGCAGAAAGTACAATGGAGGGCCATTGGGCTCAGGGATGGAGCCAGAGCTTGGCTAAGAGTCTCATGGACAAGCTAAAGATGTGGGGTGCTGACTTCAGGTAGGGGGCATACATATGCTACGGAGAAAAGTGTGCAAGAATACACACCTCCTCCCAGAAACAGCATCTAGTGTGTTATGGCTAGATGAATAGGGTATGGGGTGCAGTTAGAGATATGAAGCTGGCATGAGCAAGCAAGGCAGCAGCCAGAATATGCTGGACCAGCCTGGAAGATAAAAGGGCACTGGGGACGATGTGTATCAAGGTCTCCGAGAGTTACAGGACACTGGACAGGGTTAAAGGGCAGTACGCCTTACAGCTGTGATCTACCAGTGACAAAGCCTTGCCCCTCCCCTCCCTGCCTGAGCCAGCAAGTCTCCCAGCTCAGTCAGAATAGTTACAGGACAGGGCATTGCGGGGAGACCCTTCTAGCAGCACTGTGGAGGACAACTACCAAGTGATAATGAAACAGAATCAGGGCCAGAGGAAATGTAAGGGGATGGCCATGCGGAGGGAAAAAAGAAGGCCTAAGGAGTCTATGAGATGTTCTACTTTCTCAATATTGCTCAGGCTTAATATTAAATTGATAAAGATTGTATGTGTGCCTTTGGCATTCTTAGTTTCTACTCTAAACATCAGACGTATTTTCTTAAGTATTAGTTATTAAAAAATCCATTTCACCTGGATGTTTCTATAGTAACACATTTTTCAAAATGCATTTCTAAAGTCAAGAATAATTTACATATTCACCCATGCCTACATGAATCCTGAGTTTTTCTCAACTCCAGCAAGTTAAGACCTTAGCATACATTTGAAGGCAATACCTTTATGAAATTTGCAGGAAGGCATTTCCTTCCATTACAAATGAAGGTAATTAACTAAACAAATGCAAATTGTGCCACAGTGCATATTAAAACATAGTAATTTGAGGCTCCTGAAACCCAGCCTTGCAGTAAAGGGCCCTGAACACTTGATCAGGACTGATGACTAGTTCTGGAGTTAGAGAAGAGTACTTCCCAGGTGAGCCTACCTTTCATGTCAAATAGAAAAGAGCAGAAAGGTTGGCCTCCACAACTGCCAGGTTATTTTAACTAAAGTATCTGTACATAGTAACTTTTCCAGTGGGAAAGAAGTTACCTGCAGGACAGTCAAGGATACATTTTGGGACCGCTCTCAATGAAGAAAGCAGAAAAGTGCAGAGTAATCCTACAAATCCATGAACTGTAATGAAGAGTTCCTTGATTCCCTGCAGGATTCTGCAAATCCTTCATTGCAGGCCCTGCAGAGAAATTGTACTTTTCAGCTGTCTCTATTGAATGTGTAATGGAGTGATGATATTTTATTTAAATCAAAAGATGAGTTATAAAAAACTTGGTCAAACAAACTATGACTGGCTGTAATAATAAATTAATTCCTTTATAGAAAGTACTTATTTACATTCCTTGTTGGTCTTTTCTAACACTGACTCTAACAAAAAGGAAACAAAAAAAGTGTGATTTTTTAACTTACAGAAACTGGAAATATATTAAAAGACACACAGAAATGAAACCTAAAGAGAAATAAATGAAGTTTGCTCAGAAACTTGCTGAAATAATAACTTCAGGATCCTAGCAAAAACTAACTGCAACTAAGATCCATCCTGATTTCTAAGTCATATTCTCAGAACAATTAGGTTTTCAATGCTCATTCCATCTTAACTGTAAGGGTGAAAAGACAAAAAGACATGAAAAAGACAAAGCAAGAACAACTATGTGAAATGTGATATAGTAATTAAGTACTACCCTGGAATATACGAATACTGGGCATTATTCCCAACTCTGTCCCTCTGTAGCCAGAGGCAAATTATTTTACATTTATAAAAAGAAAGAATTGTTAAGATCCCTTCCAAATATAAAACTATATGATTTCACAGCTGCCAACACTATCCATTTATGATTCATCCCCTAAACCTAAAATACCCAGATAATTTTAAATTTAAGAACTATTTCTGGGTTTCAAAAAATTTCTAAGGAATCTTAGAAAATACCTTTACTTAAATAATTAACAGAGAATTACAAAACAATGTTTATCATGCAAGTAAATTATGTTAGAAGCTTTTCACGTTATGATGAACTTAAAAAATTTACAGGAATGTTTCCTTATGTCTTACATTTCTATAGATTACCTTATAGAAATAAAATATACACATTCTGGAAAACTGGTGAGTATCCAATTCTGTGATCATCTTGTTCCCAGAGCAAATGTATAAATACACCTTGGAAAGTTAGACCACAAAAACCACTATATTTGACATGTTCCTTTTGTCTTGTGACAGAATTTTAATTGTCTTTAAACATTTTTCCCTAGGTCAACTTTAGTACCTACCGGCTAGCCAAGTTCAAAGCTTTCTGAATCTTATTTCCATAACTAACTCTGGCCATTAAATATATACTTCTCTGTCTTCTATCATCTCATTTTCAAAAAGTGAGATAGTCTTATGAGATCATTGTTTTAACCCCCCCAGATACATTTTAAAGGACATACCTCCAAGTGATACCAAAGGTTGGTCTAGGAGAAGGATATGGCCATATATCCAAGGCAGGTTTTGCATTGTAATTAAAATAGGGGACTTCCCGGATGCCTCCTTTTCTGGCCAGCTTTTTTAAGTCATCATTAGGCAAAACAAATATGCTCTTCTTGCTGCTCTTGGTAATAAACTTTCTATAGGATGGCAGAGCTGTACCTGAACGAGTCTTCTTCGGTCTTGAGAATTTCATCAATTTCACTTTATCTCTGGTGGAGTACTCTTTGCTCACAGTCATGGATGTCACCAGCGTGCCTCCTGAGGTGGTCAGAGAGTCTGTCACAGTCGTGGTGACCACAGTTTTGCTCTGCTCCTTTACAGAGATGATGTCCTCGCTGCCTGTGGAGGGTGTGGAAAGCTTTGTTACTGTGGTGGTGGTGGTTGTGACAGTAGATTTGGCACAATTTTCTGTGGAAGAGACCACCGTCTGCTTGTCGCCTTTTGCTACCTTGATCACAGTTTTGGATTCTGTGGCCACCGTTGATGTCATTGTGGTGACTTCTGTAATGACTGTTTTTCTTTTAGACTCCCCATTGACATTTTCATCTTTGTTGGTGGGCAGACTATTTTCATCGATGAAATCGTTACTGAGGTTAGATTCCTCTCCAGAAATAACAGGTGATGGGGTAACTTTCTTCACTTCCAAGGTTTCAATTTCCATATCTTCTACCTGATGAACTAAATTGCTTTCCGGATGAGATGGTGGAACAGTGGTGACCTGTGAACCGTCTTTGGTGGATGGCAGGGTCTCAAGGCCATCTTGGTAGTCACCTTCAGTATCTGAAGAACTCAGTAAATGTGACTTTGTTTCCAAGTTGTTTTTTTCATTAAAATCTTCCATGATGACATCACCGTTGATAAATGGCTTTATAGCAGACTCTTTACTAGTCAGTGACTTAATATCATTTTCAGGGATTATTTTATTTATATTATTGACCTTTGGTTCAACATTACTACTTACTACTTTACTCTCAGAGATTTCTTTCAAACATTCACCTTTCAAATATACTTTAGGTTTATTATCTTTTCCATTTATTTGAAATGTACTTCCTCTTTGTCCTTTCTTTTCAGACTCTCGATTTTCACTATTCTTTTTCTCAGTGACACTTTTTAGATTTATCTGATCAATACATTTATTAACTGGTCTCTCCTCTAACTTCTGCTGCTGGTTTGGTGTTTTCCCATTTGCTTCAGGTGCCTTATCCTGCAGCCTGTCTTCACAGTTTCCAGTGGACTTATCAGAAACAAACTCACATTTCAATGGCTCCAAGCCTTCAATACCTTGTTCTGGAGTTATGAACTGTTCAGAAATACTTTCGTTGCTATTCTGAACAATCATATCTTCTTCACTGCTATCCTGAATAGACATAGTATCAGAACTATTTTCTAAAGTGCTATTATATTCAGAGTCACAGCCCAGTTTTCCTTCAAAGTCCACTGCTTTTGACAAAGATGAGACATCTTTGTCACTGGTACTTTTAGGTACTGATGGAAATAAAGCGCTCTTATTAGAAACAATGGGATCACTATCCTCCTGCAAGAGTGTCTTTTTGTTCTTATAGATCAAAGTACCAATATCATCTGCACTGGCTAATTTAGAGTCGTCAATGAGAAAATCACCTCCTTTTGTTTTAATCTTACTGGGTTCCTGGCCTTTAACGGAAGTTTCAGAGAGACTCTCTTCTGTATCATTTTCAACAGAATTTTGTTTCTGACAGTTTGTCTCTGGGCTCTGAATGGAGACATCATCTAACACTTGATCTTTGGGGTAAAGTTTGTCTGTGGTGTGATTAGAACTGTTGATTCCAAGACTCGAGGAATCACTTTGTGAACATCTCTGAGTCAAGTCATCGCCTTTATCACTGCTTGCATTAGGGCTTTGCTCTTGTTTAAGCAAGTCGCTTTGACACCCTTCTTTTGCTTTTGGTATTGGTGACTCAGAGAGATTTTTCAAAGAACTTGCAGAAGCCTTTCCAATACCCTTAACTCCACTCTCCAACTTAATTTTTTCGAGGCGTTGTTTTTCTTCCAGTGTAAACTGTTTAATTCTCCTTTCAAGAAGTCCATCTAGTTTGGATGATTTAATTTTCTTTTTATAACTAGTCCTTAGATGAAAACCCTCACTGACATTGATCACATCTATTTGAGAATTATCATGACAATTTATATGGGACACTGTTTTCACATCGTCTATTTCCATTGGTTCTTCCTTGAGGGATTTATCATTGTCAGAATCTGAAAGTTCTGTTATATCTGTGAAACAAAGACATTTACATAAATGTAATTTTTACTTTGAAAGGATAAATTGCTAAAAAAAAATTTTTTTAGTATTATTTTTACTTAATTTTATTTATTTATTTACTTATTTTAATTGACCAGAGAGGAATAGGACAAGAGAGAGAGAGAGAGAGAGAGAGAGAAAGAGTGAAAGTAACCCGACAGGTCCGGGACTCGAACCATAGCTGGTCATGAGGGAGTCCAGTGCCCTTAACCACCATGTTACGTGTTGGTCCTGAAAATACTTTATTTTTAAAAACTAAATATTAAATTAAATAATTCATTTTTGCTGCAGGGCACAAGTGCTCACGAGAGAGAGACAGGGAGACACAGAAAGAGGGGAAAGTGAGAAAGCAAGCTGTTAGCTCTGGGACTAGAACCATCCTTGGCCATATGGGAGTCTAGCACCTTAATCACCATACCACCTACTGGCCCCAATATTTTTGTTTTTAAAACTACCTTTTTTTCTTGTTTTTAGCCTAGAGCTGAAATATAAATATATTTCAAAGTTCTTAATTATGACTGAAACAGATCAACAGATAAGGGCTAAAATTTAAAATAGTTTAAAAAATACACATATTCCAAATATCTAAAGATCCCTGATTCTTAGTAACTGTAAGTGATGGAATGCTCTAATGAAAAATAACTTAGTATGGGAGAAGCTAGTGCAAAATTTCATACAATCTTTTACAGTTACACAGTATCTTTAAGTATATGCATTATGTATGCAAATTCCTCAAATGTTAAACCTCAAAAAGTTAAACACCAAGATACCACATGATCCAGTAATGCAATTCCTAGGTATACCTCCAAGAGAAGTGAGAATAAATGTCCAAAAAAAAATCTTGTACATGGGGTGTCAGCAGGTGGCATGGTGGCTACGGTGCTGGGCTCCCATATTGCTGACTACAGTTTGAGTCCCAGACCTAGTGGCTTGCTTTTTTACTTTCCCTCTATCTATCTCTTTCTGGTCAGAGTAAAAAAAGAGAGAATAACAATGAATAAAATATCAAATAAAATGATTCTTTAAAAAAAAAATGTGTACATGAATATTCATAGAAGCATTATTCACAATAGCCAAAAAGTCCATCAACTGAAAAATGAATAAAAAATGTGGAATATCCAGACAATGGGATATAGTTTGGAAATAAAAAGTAATATAGTATTGATACATGTAACAACATGGATAAATCTTTTTTTTTTTAAGAATTATTTTATTTAACTTCATTTATTTATTTATTTCAATTTGACCAGAGAGAGACAAAGTGAGTGAGTGAGATAGAGAAAAAGAGCAAGCTTCCAGGTCTGGGACTGAAACCACGGTCATCCATGTGGGAATCCTGTGCTCTCAACTACCACGCCACCTGCCAGCCCAAACATGGATTAATCTTAAAAACACTATGCAAGTAGGAAAAGCCAGCCACAAAGGACCCATATTGTCTGATTCAATTTATATGGAAAGTGTAAAATAAGTAAATCCATAAACACAGAAAGTAGACTGGTGGGCTGCTGGCAATTTAGGGAGGATTGGAAAGTGACTGCTAATGGGTATGAAGCTTTCTTTTGGGGTGATGAAAATGTTCTAATATTGACTGTGGTAATGGTTAAACAACTCTGTGAATATAACTAAAACCACTGAGTATACACCTTAATTGCGAGAATTACACATGGACGGTGTATGGATTACGTGTCAGTACTGCTGTTATCAAAATAAGACAATCCAGTACCTGTCCTGTTTGGGAACCTGATCCAGGACACGCCTATCACCCCAGGTGCCCTCCATACTTGACTTTCCTTACCTTGGTCCGTCTTCTCAGTAACCCTGGAGATATCCATTTCACTTTGGTCTGATCCTTTTGCATCATCTGCATCTGAATCTTTTACCTCGCCTTTCTCAGAATCAGGTTCTGTTTTTATTTTTTTTGGACTTCGTGGACTTTTTCTTTTATCTGATTCATCCATATTTTCGTCCATATTATTTTTGGCTAAAAAGAACCACATATATGGTAATTATAAGTTATTTCTAATATTAGCAATTTATGTAATATATCTAATTAGTGGGAGTAATCAAATATTTTCCAACCAGTTACACATCATTTTTTGAAATTATAACAATATTTCAAGGTACTATATACTTTCTTATAGGCTGGTTTGATCTAAGGTATAATAGGAATGACTACATTTTAGATGGTTTTCAGAAAATGTGTGTATGAAAAGATGATCTCAACCTGTTCAATGATTCCAGAAAATCTGCAAGGTAGTTCCTAACATGCTTTGTGTCATAGAACCCTGTTAGAACTGGATACCCATTATGATCTTCTACCTGGAAAAAAAGGAGGTATTCAAATTTTTCTAATATATGTCAATAGATTCCTGGGCCTCTTCAAATTCATCCATGAACTGCGAGTCAAGAACACTTAAGTCTATATCACAGAATAAAAGACTCAAGATTAATAAACAGATGTAATACGTGACCTTGTTTGGACCTGATCTACTGCCAACAGTAAAAAGTTCTGTTTAACACAATGAGGGCAATTGGAATGTGGGCTGGGAATCAGAGGATTAGTCTGTGAATTATCTATTTGCCAAATGTGCCAACAGCATGATGGTGACGGGGGAAAAAGTCTATTTCAGTTAGAGACATATACTGCACTACTTTTCATAAAATAATACGATCAGGGACCAGCAGTTAGTGTAATGGCTATGTCGCTGGACTCCCACGGAACCAGTGGCTTAAAACTCACGCCAGACGCATGTGCATGTGTACCCAAGATCCTGAGAGGAGAACAGAGGAGAAGGGATTGCGGCGTGGCCATCCCCCCTGGGGAGTGATTTGTGATTTCTCGCTTTCTGTCTCTCTGTCTCTCTCTATCTGTCTGGCGAGCGCACATGCCCTATAGCAAAAACCTCTTAAAAAAAAAAAAAAGAGAAAGAAAGAAAGAAAGAAAGTAGCAGAAAAAAAAATAAGATGATCTTTGGGATTTGCTTTACAATGCTGCAGGACAGGGCCAGCCAGTGGTGTGATGGTTAAGGTAGCTGAATCCCAAATGGCTGACTATGCATTTCAAGTCCTGGACCTGACAGCTAGAAAAACACGCTGGGCTCCTCTGCATGCCTAAAATCCCAAGAGGAAAATGAAAGAGAAGGGATTCTGGCATGGCCGTCCCCTATGGAAGGTGCCTTTTCTCTCTTTCCAGCCCTTTCTCTGGTGAGTGAATGTGCCTACAGCGAATTATAATAAATAAATAAATAAATAAATAAATAAGACAAAAAAATATACTACAGGATTAAAAAAAGTGAGCAGTGACAACTAGAACAAGAGGGATAGAATTTTCCTCACTGCTTGACACTCAGGGGGGTTTGGTTATATGGGAATTTGTCATGGTATTCTCTTCACACTGTGTAGTTTCAAATTTTCTATAATAAAGGGACAAAAAAAATCAATCCCTAAAAACCAGAACTACAGGGGCCAGTAACTGGCATGGTGGTTAAGGCACTGGACTCCAACACAGTTAACCACAGTTTGAATCCCGGACCAGGCAGCTTGAAAAACACTTCAGGCACATGTGCATGCGTGCGTGCCCAAATTCCCAGGAGAAAATTAGAGGAAAAGGAATTGGCTCCTTCAGAACACCAGGGGATGATTTCTCACTTTCTCTGTTTCTTTCCCTTGAGTGGATACACACAAGCCTTGTTCAAAAACCTTCAAAAAAAAAAAAAAAAAAAAAAAAAAAAAAAAAAAAAAAAAAAAAAAAAAAAAAAAAAAAAACAAAAAAAAATAAGAAAGAAAGAAAAAACAAGAACTACGGTCCAGATGAGTATTCCGGGGCTGCAGAGGCACTGATCTACTCTGTATTTTCCGCTTCACTTAAACCTAAACATCCCTAAGGACTTAAGAAGATATCCTTATTTTGTCTTTGAATAAATAATTTCCTTCAGAAAGATTTGACGCAAAGAGCAGAAAACACAGTAACTGTCAAAAGAAAAGGGAACTGGCAAGAACAGAATGACAGAAAGGGAAGCTTGTCATGCTTGGACATTATAAGTCACAAAAGGATGAAAAACTAAACCGATGCCTTCCTTATTCAACACTTGTGAGTTATTTTACGACAAATGGGCAGTATTGTGTCAGTGTTTTCAAGCTGCTCAAGAAAAGCTTTAGATGTCAGTGGTACAAGCAATAAGACTCTTTCTGGTGACGGCGCATGTGCTCACCAGTGAGAGAGACAGAGATGGTAAAAGGGAAAGTGAAAAATCACCCGCCAGGGGGAATGGCCATGCTGCAATCCCTTCTCCTCCATTCTCTTCCCAGGACCTTGGGTATGCAAGCACATGTGCCCCGCATGATTCTGAAGCTACTGGGTCCAGGACTCGAACTATGGTTGGACTTGTGGGAATCAAATGACATAACTGCTATGCTATCTCTGCTGGCCCAAACATCTTCTATGGTGGGAAGCATGCTGATATATAAAACAAAAAGCTATAACATGTTTCAGTATTTTCCCCTATTAAAGGTTTTCCTAATGTAAAGAATTCCATACATAGCCTTTACTGGAGCCTAAAAATGGATGTGCCACACAAATGTACCAGGTCAGAGCTACACTAGAGGTTAGGGATGAGCACAAAACCAGAAGCCAGACATGTTTAATGCTCTGGTCTTCTGGGGTCAAGTTGAGTACCTTCTCTGAGCCTCATTTCTGTTTTCAACCATCGGTACACCTCCATCACAAATGCAGACGAGATTAGCCATTTGTATGGGGACGCATCACCCTGACCTTATAAGCTGGTGGTTCCTATCACTGTCACCGTCACTGCCACTCCCACTCTAGGCTAGGCCAGCACCCTGGAATTACATGCACTGCTGCTTTCTTCTCTGCGTCTGCCTGACGGGAAAGGCTTTATTTATATAAAAAGGCCAACTTGGTGCCTGACTGAAGAAAGGCCCAGCATCTAAACAACTGAAAAACTTTTGCCGAGCAAAGTAGATGTAAAGTAAATGTGTGAAGGATTAAATATTCTGTATAACGACCATGTGGATTTCATTATAGAGGTCAAACTAGGTCAGATGCAATTAAACAAACAGCTCTACATAATTCTAAATGTTGCACGGGTAACTGGTGTAACAAAATGGTAATAAAAGAAATTGTAATGATTTTTAAAATGTATTATAATGAATACTTAATATGAATATAATTAAATAATAGCATGAAGTATTGAATACATCTATTTGGCAAACAGAAATATTTATTGAGCATCTACTACATTTAAAATGCTCCTGGGCCCTATAAAATAAATTCTAGTGAGTCTTATGAAATACATATTTTTCTTGTTAGAGAAATCAATGACAACTTTTCTACACTGACAGTTTCACTCATCTTACCACTTCAATTTACCAGAGCCATTCATGAAGATGCCAAACCAGTTAGCTTGGTAAGTATGTAATACTAACTGCACTAGAGCATCTCCTCACTTAGGTTTCAAGGCAAAGAACACATCACAGTATGAATTAGCAAATTATATGGATAGCTAACAGAATTGCTTTTGCAAACTGCTTGGATGACAAACGAGAGACCGTGTGGTAGAAAGCATGAAAGAGAAATGCGCGTCAGGAGACATGGGGTCTAGCCAGGGTTCTAACACTCCCTACCTGTGTGAACTTCAGTGTGTCACTTCCTATCTCCATGAAATAATTAGCTTGTTTAACATGAGTTTAAAAAAATATCATCTCTTAAAAGGGCAGACCTCAAGAGTTCAGCGATTATAAGTACAGAAGCTTGATAGCAGTAGAACTGAATTAATAGTTCATTTATGTGAAAGTGGCATAAAGTCCTGTATCTCTTCCTTTTGCTACGTTACACATACAATAACGCCAAGGTTACCAGGTATGTGATTCCTCAATCAGTCAACCAGTACTGCAAGTTTTCCAAATACAGTAATTAGGTGTCTGAGTCCATATTTTAAAAATAAATTCTATAGCCAGCAGATGGGATGGTTGTTAAGGCACCTGGGTCCCACAAGGTCAACTGTGTGGTTAGAGTCCTAGATTCTGCAGCTTAAAAAATATGCAAGCCCCAAATCCCAAGAGTTATCGATAATGGAGAAGGGACTGCAGTGTGCCTATCCTCCTTAAGGGATGACTTCTCACTTTCTCTCTCACCACAGAGAGCACCCACTCTGTAACAATATTACCTTGTGCTCGCTGGAGAGACAGACAGAAAGCAAGAAATCACTCCCCCGAGGGGACGGCCATGCCACATTCTCTTCTCTTTGATTTTCCTTTCGGGATGTTAGGTGCGCAGGCACAAGTGCCTGGCGCTGAGGGTTTTTTTTCAAGTCACCAGGTCTGGGGCTCAAACCATGGGTGACCACGTGGGAGTCCACTTATGTAACCATTATGCCATCTGCTGGTCCCATTCTAGACACTCTTAAACTGAAATCCTAGAAATCAAAATCATGTGTAAAAAGGTAACGTTTAAAAGTTCGGAGTTTATAGAGCCAGCAGATGGTATGGTGGTGAAGGGCTCTGGATTCTCACATGGCCGACCATGGTTTGAGTCCCGGACTGGTAGCTTGCTTTTTCACTTTCTCCCCACATCCACTCTTTCTCTCTTGCTCTGTCTCTGGTCAAATTAAAACAAACAAACAAATAAATAAAGTTAAATGATTTATTTAAAAACTAATTTTTAGGGGCCATCAAGTGGTATGGTGGTCAAGGGTGCTGGACTCCCACATAGTTGAAAGCAGTTTGAGTCCCGGACCTGGCAGCTTGCTTTCTCACTTCCTCTCTCTCACTCTGTCCCTCTCTGGCAAAACTAAAATAAATAAATAAATGAATAAATAAAAATAAAAAGTTTGGAGTTCATAATTAATAAACGACATTAGTGATGATGCACATTCTATTCAAAATTTCAGAAAAAGCTTTTTATCAGAAATACGGCCAATATTCTACAAATGTATAGAAATAATATTAAATAAGAAATGATAACACAGGGAAAATAATTTTAATTACTTACTTTCTTCTAATGACTTTCTGTAATTCACATTAGTATTGCCTGGCAATTTAGGAATAAACCTATACACATGAGTTTTACTAATCCAGCTCCAGCCACCATAGCCTGTCACTCTGTACTCCTCTCCTTTCTGTTTCCAAACCTGGCATAAATGAAAACATTCTGATTAAACAACAAGAATGATGACACTTGTGTAGCATGTGTGGTTTCAACATTTCTACCAAATAAAATTTACCAATCAATGTAATTTCCGTTGGGAATGAAAAAACATAATACACCTTCCTAACATGCAAAGCTTAGTGTGATTTTACAATTTCATAACAATTTCAACCAAGTAGTCTCATAACCCTCTTACATTCAAAGACAGCTATCCTTACAAAATTACTAGAAAGGTGGCACATGCACGTTATAGAGTACTACTCAATCATAAAAATCAATGAGCCCTGCTCATGTTATACAAAGCAGATGAATATATAAAATTTAATGCTAAGCCAGACTTCGAAAGACATAGTATGTCCCCACTCAATATATACCGACTGTCTACACTCTGGCAGAAATCGTTAAGATTCAAGTAGTAATGGAATTTTATGGATGACAACATGCATGATTAAGCCACTAAGCAGTTTACTCTAGAGGGGAAACCACATTTAGTACGTTGTGATGATGCTCAGGGAATGAATGTAAATTAAAGAAAAAAAAATTCAGAAAAAAAAAAATACTAAAACTGTTACCAAAATTTAAAGAAAAAAACTGTGTATTTGATGACCATAGTAAGCTATATAGCCCCAGCTAGGTACTATTTTATAGTATGTTCACTCTACTCACTGAGGTTTATGCCTAAAGTCAGACATAGGTTCTTGTATATGTATGTATCAGCTGTGCTTGCTATTGCAAATATTTAGACAAATTAAGTTCATTAGCAAATCAATTAAATGGGGGGAGGAAGGCATAGAAAGCAATCATGGAAACCAGAGACAAAGGGAAGAGGGTGGGACATGGCAGAGGGTTAGGGATAGGGAATCAAGGATGGCAAAAAA